ACCAGTGAACCTACACGAGTCTTCTGAGTTTATATGGAATGTTGATGATGGAAAATAGTGGAAAATCTGAAATAATAAGTTTTGGGGACCATTTTGCCTCACAGCGCCCTGCATGTATCCCTGACCATGAATGGAGTTTTGAAATATATATTTTAAACCAAAACCTTCTTAAAGCTTTTAGGGACACTAAACTCTTTAGACATCTGGTTCCAATCCCCACCACTGTGAGCATGTTTGTCTTTAACTCTGAATTTAAAACAAATTAGGAATCTGCCTTGTAAAGTTCAGTTTGTTAGATATTTATAGTTATAATATATATATATATATATATATATATATATATATATATATATATATATATATACACACACATGTGTGTGTGTGTGTGTGTGTGTGTGTGTGTGTTAGTTATATATACACTAACAGATACAGGACAGATAATTATATAAGTATATAAATACAATTATGTGTCATCTGGAATTTAGGACTTTAGAGCTACAAAATGACTGCATGTTTATGAGCCATTGTATTTATAAATTTGAACTTACATTTAAATACTGAACTCGGTTCATTTTTAATTGTATAGCTTTTTTATGGTCCCAAACTTGTAGGACCCATGACAAGCAGGCTGAGGGACACATATGGTGACAGGACTCCCTAAGAGCATGAGGAAGAAACCCTGATACGAATAAATACATTAAAACATGTTAAATAATTGTATGTCATTGAAAGGTTGGGTTTTCCTCACATTGCCAGTAAAATCAACCTGTTAAACAACAAAGAGATTACTTTTACTGTCGTCAAGAAGTCTTCCCTCTGGGGCACTCTATTGTGGAAACTTCTGGCCCTGCCCTTGGCCTGTCTGGAACCTTTGGGCTCCACCCTCTGCTCTGTCTGGAACCTTAAAGTTGAATGTATCTAATCTTGTCTGCCTGAATTCTGGCTCTAAGAATGCATCCTCTTGCCCTTTGCTCTTCCATTCATTACAACAGCCTTTTTGCATTTTACTAACAATTACATTTATTTAGCACTCATGACAAAAGCCATCACAAAGCAACTTTAATGAAATCTGGGTCCAGTTCCCCGATTAGCATGCTGCCCTTGCTGTGTTATTGTTTTGCTGTTCATCTATTTATCTGGTGTCGACCAGAGGAGAATAAGTTCCCCTTAGGGACTTGGTTTCTCTCATGGTTTCCTCTTCTTGCTCTTTGGGAGTTTTTCTAGCCACTGTTACCCTTGGCAATGCTTCTTCGGGGTTCGGACCCACCTGTAAAGTTGCTTTGTGCCCAGAAGCATTGGCAGAAGTACATTATTGGGCAGGCCTGTGACAAAGTGGGTAGGCCAACTTGGTAGATACAATTTCCAAATGTGCTAATGTCCTGCAATGTCATAACATCAGTAGCTGTCAATCTGAAAGCTAGATTCACATAAACACAACCAGCACTGCAGCACCCTTTACTATAAAGACAGTAAGGTATGTGTCGGCTCACCATAGACATGTTTTTTCCAAAGAAAATGACATAACTGATTCAATATTAAACAGCTCAGATGCACGAAGGGAACACACACAAAAAACCTGAAAACCCAAACCTAATCATTCTAGGCTTAAACACACCACCAGAGAGGATGAAGCCGAACATGACATGACTGAGATACAATCAGACACCTGAGATGTGCAAAGAAAAGCAACACAGAAACCTTAGAAACCTAAACCTAATCATTAAAGCCAAAAACATATTGCCACAGCGGGCATACAAATGTTTAAGATCCCTTAATGTCTTACCTTTGAGGCACTGAGACGTTAGACGCTAGCTGTGACATTTTCACAAAGCCCATTTCAGTTTTTTAGTAAAAGAGCACCGTACTTTGCAGAAAACTGGCAACAATGACAATATCTTTTTCAACATTTTTTTCAGATGTGGGCTGGAAGAAAGCGACATACTCAGGATGAAATCTCACTATTAAACACCCCCAGTTACATTTTTAAATCATGACTGGAATTTCAAACTCAAAGACTGGTGCACAGATAACAAACTGAAGGCTTGAGACAATGGCGGATAGCAATGGTTGCTGACTGGAGGCCTGAGAAAATAAGGCAGAGCTTGGCGGAGACTAATAATTTGACTGGCTATAAAACAATAACAGCACTGACAGAAAACAAATCAGATCAACTTCATTTAGCTTCAAAACTACCTTGCCTTATTATGTAGAATATGTTACCCTTTTAAATCTGGATTTTTTTTTTGGTCCTCTCTTCCAGGAACGTTTCCTGCCACTGTCTCCAACTGTAGCTCACTATGTATGCCTGACAGGGTTCTTATAGCATCGACATCTTAACTGAATATTTCTTTACTAATGTTTACTTACCTGTCATTTGACTTTATACCATATCTTCCTTTTTCCAATGGCCATACTGTAGTCTTGGGACTTCAAAGTGTCATATCCATGTTTGCTTGTTGAACATCTCAATCCATAGGGTGTTATGGAGTTTGTCCTCCTTTGAAGTTGTAACAGCCTCCAATCCTTTGGGAAGGCTTTCCAGTAGACGTTGGAACATTGCTCTAGGAATTCACTCAAACTTGGCCACAGGAGCATCAGTGAAGTCAGGCACTGACGTTTGGTCATAAGGCTTGGCTCACAGTCAGCATTCTAATTCACCCAAAAAGTGTTGGATGGGGTTGAGGTCAGGGCTCTGTGCAGGCCAGTCAAGTTCCTCTACCCTAAACCTGACAAACCTATTCTATATAAAGCTTGTTTTTAGCCCTGCTGAATTCCTACTCCACCAAACTTTATAGTTGGAATGCTCTATTTGGGCTGGTAGCGTTCCTCTCACCAAATCTAGTTTCGTCCATCAGCCTATTAGATCGTGAAGTGTGATTAATCACTCCAGAAAACATGTGTCCACTGCTCCAGACTCCAGCGCTGGTGTGCTTTACAGACTGAAGTGGACCCCTGGTATTGCATGTGGTGATCTTGGGCTTGTGTATGACTGCTGGGCCACCGTGGTCCACATCGAAACCCAAACCATGAAGCTCTAGACAAACAGTCCTGGTGCTGACGCTGCTTCCAGAGGGAGTTTGGGGTTTGGTAATTAGTGTTGTAACTACCAAAGGACAGCAGTTCAAGCGACACTTTCCTATATGTAAGTCCTGATGTTAACCAAGTAACATGTACATTTTATCGTCATCATTTGGTTGGTTGCTGATTTCTGGTCCTTTGATATAACTTTCAGAAGTCAGAGATAGTATCCTTGTAATAAATGGATCACGCAAACCTATTATTCTGTTCTAGACTTTCTATTTGCTTCCCTTTTCCCCTGATTTAAGGTTGTTGGAGATCAAAGAGTTCTTTATTTCTTGTATTTTTCTCTGGTCTCCTGATTAAGGGACAAATAAATAACTTATGTTTGGGAGTGAAAACATGGCTAGTTGTCCAGTCCCTGTCCAGTCTTCTCAGTGTGCACCAACAAGAAGTACAAGCTGACAATAGTGTCACAATGAGGAGTCTGCTTTCCACTGCTAATCATTTTATTTTTATTTTTTTTAAAGTGTTCAAAAAGAAAAAAGATGGACAACCTACAGTGGTGTGAAAAAGTGATTGCCCCCTAAACCTAATAACTGGTTGGGCCACCCTTAGCAGCAACAACTGCAATCAAGCATTTGCGATAACTGGCAAAGAGTCTTTTACAGCGCTGTGGAGGAATTTTGGCCACTCATCTTTGCAGAATTGTTGTAATTCAGCCACATTGGAGGGTTTCCAAGCATGAACCGCCTTTTTAAGGTCATGCCACAGCATCTCAATCGGATTCAGGTCAGAACTTTGACTAGGCCACTCCAAAGTCTTAATTTTGTTTTTCCTAAGCCATTGTTTTGGATCATTGTCCTGCTGCAGCTTGAGGTCACGAACAGATGGCCAGACATTCTCCTTCAGGATTTTTTGGTAGACAGCAGAATTCATGGTTCTATTTACCACAGCAAGTCTTCCAGGTCCTGAAGCAGCAAAACAGCCCCAGACCATCACACTACCACCACCATATTTTACTGTTGGCATGATGTTCCTTTTCTGAAATGCTGTGTTACTTCTACGCCAGATCTAATGGGACATACACCTTCCAAAAAGTTCTGGGTTCTACATAAAAGAAGGCAGTGGCTGTGCACTAGTGAATCAGCTAGGTTATTTTATTGTCCTTTAAGATCTAGAATCTATTATCCAAGTAAGATTTCGACTTTAAACTACTAGATAATTATTTTAGATATCATAATAATAAGTTCCAAAATGATCTGACTAAATTACAATGCAATGCCCAACAGATTCTAGATATTAACTGGGCAAGTATGTGGTACAAACTCCACAGTACTGTGTAATTATTTTGGGAAAAATGCAGCAGGTAGTTATATGATGTACAAAGATTGTCTTGGTATTCAAAATAATTACACAATACTGGGAGGATTCTACCTCACATTTACTTAGTTAATATCTAGAAACTGTTTGGCATTTTAGTGTTATTTAGTTAAAATGTCTCAAATCTTACCATTGTTTTACCTAAAATAATTATCTAGTACTTTGGAGTTTGTACCTAGAACTTTCAAAGAAAGTGTTACTGAGTACAATATGGTAAAATACAGCTGACATACTTCTTGATTTTTCTTGGGGCTCCTTAACATCCCTAAAATCTGTGCCTCAGAGGTTCATGTCTGATACCTCTAATCCAGTCACCACTAAAGATCTGTGTGTTTGTATTGTTCACATCATGTTATGTTGCACTGTAATGTTATGTAATTCAAAGCAGTCTCTTGCATTTTTTTCAAAGTTGCTGCCATTTTTTATTTGAATTTATTTGAATTTAATAGTTTTCTATATAAAAAAATACATACACTCTAAAGCTTACAAATATATTAATGTTATTTAATGTAATTTATTTTACATTTTAAGGTTTAATTTAATTTAAGGTTTGTTTATGCTATTTTATCTGGCTTATAAGCAATAATCTTGAAAAAAGCTGAAGTTTTTAAAACGTTATTTTTATTGAGAATGAATGTGAAGTTGAACAATTAAGTGAAGATTAGTCAGGAATAGAATCATTTAATAACTGTCTGGTTAGTTTAAAGATTTAAACATTGATTTTACATTAGTCCCACTCCAAAATTTAGAATTGATACAGCACAACAGTCCCATTATGCTAAAAAAATAAAAAACATGTCTAAACATCTACAGAGAATTGATAAATATTACTAATAATTTTGATTGTACAATTGTGAATGGATAAAACACATCTAGGTAATGAAACAATATAATTCCTCTGAAAATTTGATGAAGTTAAAATACAGTGCAATGTATTAATACTCAGATAACAGAAAAAACATGGTAACTAAACTATGAATGTGATTATAGTGTGAGTAATGTAATGAAGCACTGAAGCTGTATTTTGTGTGTGTGTATGTGAGTGTGTGAGTGTGTGTATTTCAGTGACAGTGTGATTGTTGGATGGTTAGATGGTTATCGTAGTGTGTGCAGTGTGATGGTCAGAAGTCCTACACACAGAGAGACGAGCCACAGTCCTGAACCACGATGTACAACACCGGAACCTGGAACACACACACACTAATGTCAGTTATCAGTACATAATGCAGACTAAGGTGATTACAGTTATGGGTAAACACTACTGTAAGACCATGCTTACAAGGCTACATGGCACATACATGACAACCGACGCTGACCTTAATAAACATTTATTTCAAAAGGCATTATTTGTCATAAAAGCTGCATTTGCCAACATACGTTTAATCTACGTCAGATTTATTTTTTATTCACATTAAGCTGTATCATGACACTCACAGGGGATGAGCTCACAGTGACATAATGCTGATAATATGAGTGCCAAGTCAGGCTGGTTGGACAAAAGTGAGGATTTTCTGTGGCCCTTAGTTAATTTTACCATTTGTAAGATTTAAGCTACATCACACCATCACTGTTATATACACTGAGTTACAAAGTCAGCTGTTATAACATGCTATGTCATTTCACCCCCAAAAAAGTCCTGACAGAATCCAAAGTCAGAAAAAATCTTTGTCATCTGACACTGATGTTATCTTAACAAGATATCTAAGTCAACAAATGTAGGCTTTATATAGAAGATTCATTTTGGAATAAGTATTTACAAATGTTTATGTAGCCGATTCATAAATGCTTATGTACACTCATAAAAACGATGTTTCTTCAGAGGTTCTTTAGTAAAGGAAATGGTTCTATAGAGAACCATGAACACGCAAAGAACCCTTTGTATGATTAAAGGTTTCTTTGCATCCTGAAAGGGCTCTTCAGATTGACAGAGAATGTGCTGTAGATGGTTCTATGTAAAGATGTCAAGCTTGTAACAATAGCAGAGCCCTTTTTGAGGAGTTATGAGGAATATAATAACTATTCCAGTGATGATAATGAATAGAAACCTTATAACAGCAATGACAGATCACACACAACAGCAGTGAGGATGAAATGGAATGCTGATTCTTCTGAGAACGACCCTTTTGATGAAGAGTGTCTTACCATGTGTTGTAGCATTGACTGTGTAGCTGGTCTGAGTGATGGTGGTGTTAGTCAGTGACACTGTAACATTAGTGATGGTTGCAGCTGTAGAGCTGATGGGGTCGTCTTTGCCTCCTACAAGTCCGATGTTCAGGGTCGCCAATTCAGACTTGTATTGCTGATCCGTCCATGACCGAACTGCTGTGGTGTTCTCAAATAGCTTCAGGCTGTCCAGATTCATTCCCAAAAGACTACGCACTGTATTGACACTCAGGGTCTGAAACACATAAAATGTTATGTCTTTAGTTTACTAACAAGTCCCCTTTGCCTTAGGTGTGTCTCATATCATTTAAAAGGTATGCCCTATGATCACTGTTGTATTTACCTATACATGTATGTACTGGTGTATTAACTTCCTTAAAGTAGCTAGCAGATAGACTGCTTCTTTTCATAGGTAGGTTGGAGCCTTTTGAGCTTCAAATGTACATGTGGATATACATTCCACATGTTAAATCTTGGGTATTATTCCAGCTGTTGAATATATCTTGGTTAAACCATGATGCAATGCCACAGGAATTTTACAATGTTTGAACAACTACATGTTTTTTTGGGACATGCCGCTCTGTAAAAATGCTGCCTAAACATTCTGGACCTTGTGGATTGACTTCTTAACCTTAAGTGCTAGCAGATGAAGTCACACAAGCCCTGAGATCTTTGCCCAAGACGCAGCCACAATTATATCAACAAACCTGGAAAACTGCTCAACGGTTGGAGGCTGGAAGATTAGAATAGTTTATAGAAGAGTCTGTTTATACCAAAGAAAGGAGACCAGAGAAAGTGTTCAATTGACAAGAGTAAAGCTTTTGACTGCATCAACCTCATAAAATCAAGGGATGTCCTCATGAAAATGACAACCATGACAAAAATAGAAAATGGAAAAACAGAATGGTTTCCCATCAGCAAAGGAGTTTGACAGGTCTGCCCAGTGTCACCATGCTTATATAACCTGTATGCTGAACATGTAATAAGAGAAGCAGGGCTAGATAAAGATAATCGAGGATTTAAGATTGGTAGAACTATAAATAATCTTTGATGTACAGATGACATGACACATTCTACATTGCCTGATTGACTGTTTATGATTAAAATGTCTATTTCAGCTGTACAGCTCACTGTACTCATAAAGTGCATTCACATGGTCATGGCTCGGCATTTATCACCCATGATAATTTATATAGTGGCATTTATTATCCATGAACCAGTGAACTAGACTAGTGCAGTTGATTATCAATATGTATGGATGGGAGTTTGACCATGATTTCACTGTACTTCCTGACTTATCTTTATATGAAAATACTTAATGATCTCATATTACCCTATACTTCAGGAAGGAATAGTAAAATTTGGTGGGGATGCAGTGAATAACAATAGGATTGCAAAGAAGCTGTTGGAAGATGGAGTGGGCCTTCAAGGCCAAAAAGGAGGGCAGCACAGACTGATGCAGACTATGGAATTCAAAGGCACAAACCTCACAAAGGAGGGAAAAGATGAGATTTTTGAGAGTGCATCTCTTTTTGGGGAGGAGACTGGGGTAAACAACTCTCATGGCTCAACTAAACCTGTCTGCCTCCATTGCTATCTTTCATCCACCCAAAACAATAACATTACTGAGGACCAGCATTATTGAACCAACCTGTGGTGGTAGAGTGAACCTCACCCACTGAAAACTTCAGTAAACCCTTCATTAGAGTCATGCATTTGTGCTCATAACAGGAAAGTGAAGCATGACACTGCGAAAACTTTCAACCAGGGTGGAGGCCCTAGGGTGGATGAGTCAGTTGACTTTTGTAACAGGGTAGGTATCTCATCACTTGAAGAATCTCGCCCACACAGGCCTTTACAGGTTTAAAGTCATGACATTTGGGATTTCAAATGCACCACTAACATTTCAAAGGCTGATGAACTCGGTGCTGGCTGGCATGATATATGACCAATCTATTGTCTACCTAGATAACATTGTGGTGGCTTCACCATATTTTAAGGAACATGTCAAGGATCTAGTCAATTTCCTCTCAGACGCTGGTTTAAAACTAAAACCCTCTGAAAAAGGTCTTTCAGAGGGTTTTAACCCAGATAAAGAGAAAACAAAGAACACAAAGGCCTTCAAGGAATTCCCCAAGGCCCCCTTGACAAACAAGTAAGGCAGTTCTTTGGCATAACTCGTAAGGTTCATCAGAGTTATGCCAAACTGGCAGAACCACTGATTGCCCTGAAGGTGTGCTTTAACTCAAAGAGACTACTGCGCTTTCAAAGACACAATGTACTGCCATGACTTCATAAGACAATTCTGTTTCTGTTGTAGACAAGTGTATTATTTTTCACACCTTGAGCACAGAAGGTTCAGACTCATGAAAGTGGTGATGTCCATGCTGATGTTCTGAGTAGAAAGAGCTCGTATATCCTCCACAGGAGCTCCACCTAAACACACACAGAGACATACAGTGGTGTTTTGATTTGACAAGAGACAACTGAAAAGGGAATGTAAAAAAATCCTGTACTTATTAAAGATCTTAATCTTACCTGACGTGTTTACAAAAACTATGTTGGTTGCAGAGCTATTTTTGGATTACACAATAGGGTTCAAAAGTCTAAGTTCACTGCCAAGAGCTGTTTTATTGCCTATAAACCTATTACAAATTTCCCAGTTGATACAGAGGTCACTGTATTTATAGGTGCACTTTGTATGTTTCATATATTCAGTTAGTAAATGAAGACTTGCTGACTGTATATACAATACCGTTCAAAGGTTTTAGGCACCATGTAACATTAGAACAAGTGCTATCATCAATGCAGTAAAAACACAAGACTTTCTGTTATTTAAAAAAGCAGCTGAAGTCTTTTGAGCTAGCCAGAAGTACGGATGTCTTATTCCAGGTTTGTCCTCAACGCCAGAGACATTGCAGGGATTTGATAAAATTCATCACCAGCGCACCTGATTTAATTGAATGAATGATTAATTAGTTAAATTGGATATTTGATGACAACTACAAATGGTACCAAGCTGCTACAAGGAGGGGTTTGGAAATGAGCACAGAAAACACTTATATACATACAATTAATACTTACTGTACTAATGTTATTTGTATTTACTCTAGTATTAGAGCTTTTCTCTGATTAAATAAACGCATACTGTCCACATAAACAGCTTTTTTAAATATAATTTTCTACGTCTGATGAGTTGATAGTATGTATATTATTGTATTGTTGCTACTTTTGCTGCTGAATAGGAACTTAATGTGAATAGCATGCATATCATGAGGTTTACCCAGGTAAGAGTTGATGAGCTGGTAGAATGCTGCAGGGTCGCTGCGTTGCGTGCTGAATGAGGAGTTGGCGATGATATACAGAGCTGATTTCTGATCAATGGAACATGAGGATACATTCACAGAGCTTGCTTTCCTGCAGAAAAGAAAAAGAAAGCCCCAGACTGAGTGTTTGCTTTACAAACACTGGACAAGTCTAATTATCTAGATACAATTTTAAAATTAGCCAGAGTATAATAATTATGTAACTTTGTTAGATTCAGTGCTGAACTGTAACTATTGGCGCAGCTACTTCAGGCCAAAAATTTGCACTATGTTAGTAAGCGTTAGTGACGTAACTTATATTAGCTCCAAAGTAATAAGCCTGTCACTAACTAGAACCTACAGGAATCAAATGTGCCACGGCAGGCTAATATGATGTGAATTTAGGTGATCATTCATGCTCAATAATTTCAAATAATTTCAATACATTCAATTTACTTAGCAAAGTATTTATTGTGCATCACTACAACTAATAAAGCAGTTTTTACTCATTTTGCATAACTGACCTCCAAATATGTAGTAATACAGGTGATAGAATGAATCAAGCTTAATGTACAGTGAATAAACCATTTAGAAGTGTCTAATTTGATAAACTCCCAATAGGTGTTCCCTAAAACCAAGTGTTACTAATAATTTCTCCTTGTACCCTTTTGGGATTTTTAATAATAAGTTAACACCGATTCACATTAACATATTTTGGCCACTCTAGATTAAACACGAACGTTTATAGCTAAAAGTAATTCCATATGCTTTATCTGGAGCTTGAAACAGACATTAACACATATATCTGAGCTTGTATGTATCAGTTTTACTGTAACTCTTTCAGTAAAGAGTCCTGCATAGAGCTGCTGTCGCTGTTTTACATTCCTAACAACCACCTGAAATCTGCTTAAACGATGGCAGATATTCACATCAATGATGTATCTAGAACTTCCTGTGTCTCATTATGTTGGTAGTTAATTTAATGTGTAAGGCCTTTAGTCCAGCTCCTGAAGTCCGCACTCACGGGAGAGCTCATCTGGCTTTATCGACCTAGATACCACAGAGGAAATAGTACTGATAGGATCATTTCTGTTAGGTGTTTCAAAATTTTTAATGCTTTCATGATTGTAACCCAAAACCTAACAATGCAAAAAGCACATTATTACAATATACTTGTAAAGCTTAAATACAAGCATGATGATTATATTAAAAATAAATACTAAAACTACAGATATATATTTTTGGTTCGCAGAAAACACTTGGCCTTCTCTGGAGGCCTAAAAGGCTCTGAGAGGGGTCTTTTGTCTATGTCTATTGTCAGGTGCTAAATTTCATGTAAGGAGCTCACCATGAGAACATTCAGCCTGACTGAAGTTATTGGAGCTAGAAAATACAGACCTGTCAAGTATTATCAGGATTTACCTATTTTGAATTAACTAATTATTAGGAAAAGGTTTGCTTGAGTAAGTCATTTATCTGAATTAGCCAGTCACACTGAATGTTCCCTTCTGTATGTGAATCTTGCATATTTTCTAAAAATGAAGTACTCACCAATCTGTGTGTGTTATATTTTTGTGTATTTTATATTTTGATACTTACCTCAGGCTGTCAGCAGTGATGGTTTTGAGAACACTGACATCCAAAGAACAGACGTTGGAACCAATTGCATTTAGTTCAGCAGTTCCCAGAGTGTTACCAGCCACGCTGAGATACCTCGTAATCACAGCATTACTCTACAACACAATAGACAAATTAATTTTTTACACAAAAGTCTGAGAAAAATTGTTGAGCTGGATTCTGGCTCCACTTAGTGGCTGTCTGTTAAATTGCAGCCAGCAGGATCATCAGCTGGTACCTTCAGTAATATCACTACATTCTACACAGATACACTAATAGACTTGCTACCTGCTCTGAGGTCCAGTCTCCATTATCTGAGTTCATCAGAGAGGACAGTGTGTCGATTGTGGTGATGTTCCACTTGTTGATGTCACTAACAGTGGCCACACGAGACACGGCACTCAGTAGCTGTACCACACTTTCTGGAAGGCCTGATGGGTAGAGCTGAAACAGACACTCTGTCAACTCACAAATCACAACACAAAACACTACCGGGGAAAATCTGGAACACATATGTGATGCTACAAAATATACATCATATAGAAATAAAATCTGAGAGCCAGATGTATGTATGTACAAGTGCAGGCACAGCGCCTTGATGTCATCATAATATGTGCCCAAAATGCTCCTGAATTAACATTAGATTTAAAGAAAAAACTATGCAAAACTGTCCGCCATGAGTTGCTCAGTTAAACTGAGCAGAACATGTAATTAGACACACGTAATATCTCCACACATTTTTTGCATGATCCTCCCATTTTTTGCGCAGCCCTCTCACAAATACATACTGCATGTATACAGACAAAATGTACTTCTGTATATATGTGTGTGTATATATATATATATATATATATATATATATATATATATATATATATATATATATATATATATATACACACACACACACACATTTTTTTTTTTACTTTTTAGACTTGTTTAGACTTGAAAATGCTGTTTTCCTGTACAATTTGCGTAAATTTCATAACCAAAATTTCATTGGGCCAAAAGAAATGGTCTAAAATTGTTTGGACAAATTATTGGTTTCATTGACTTACATTAAACGTAAAGTAGGTTTTTTCCTTCTCATCTAAAGTCATCATTTTGGAGAAACAAGGTTTTGTTCTGACAGCATGCATACACACACACACACATATATATACATATATATATATATATATATATATATATATATATATATATAGATAGATAGATAGATAGATAGATAGATAGATAGATATGAGTTAGATCAGTGCGTTTTGCATTTTTCAATGCCTGTAAACTGCACATTTAGGCTTATGTGCTAGTTTTGCACCTGAAACTTCCACAAAAGGCTCAGCATATCAAGCCTAGAGTGTCAGTAAGGTCACACATATTAAAAAAAAATTGTACTGTTAATACAGATGGTATTCAGTAATGCTGACCTGGTTTAATTTGTTCAGAATGATTGTCAGGAAGCCAGTGTCCACCACTTTCGCAGTGATGGCTGCCAGGTTATCTTTCAGGAAAGTGTTGTCCAAGCATGCATCAAACTGAGTGGAGTCATAGCCGAGAGGGAATGAGGTATCTGCAATTGTTGCCTCTGTGATGTTGTTATCAGCAGCACATACTGTCAGACAAAGAGAGAGAACAGGAATTCACTTACACCACTGACATGCACAGTGGGCTCCCGTCTGAGAGCACGAGTGAGTGTGCCTCTGTTTTGCATTCTTTTCCAATTTAATACAATGTTTCTATTACAAATTATATTATCAGCATAACAATTTCAGCTTAACGTACAATCCTTAAATTTTTAACATTCGAATTTTTAGAAGAGAGTTCCTAGAGTGTTGGCATATCCCCGTTTTGCTTTAATGATAGCATGCACTCCAGCTGCATGGACTTCACAAATTTGTGCAAAAGCCTTTGATGAGCAGAACAAATCCATCTCTACCCACAGGGATGCTGCATCTTCCAGTTCTTGAGCTGTATAATAGTAATCCAGGAAGATGCAGAGGTTTTCTCACCCAGTGTATACAAGCTTTCAAACTGAAATCAAGCTAACGTGGCCCAAGTCATCTTCCTCCTTACCAACAGATCTCATGTCTGGGCCACAGCAGTCTGAGCACAGAAATATCCATTGTCCTTGGCCATCCACCTCTTCATCCAGTAGATGGATTGAGGGCAAATCCATCAAGACACCCACCATCTGACTTACTATGTATTTATTATTATAATATCTATTATTATTATTATTATTATTATTATTATAATTATAGATAGCAAAATTCCCCCATGGACTGAGAGAGAACATCAAAATTGAACTGACCTCCAGAAAACCAGCTAGTGACTTTCTTTGACTTGCCCCTTTATTTGCATAACCAGCTCAGCCTTCAAACTGGGGATGCATCGATACCAATACTGGTATTGGATATCAGTCCAATACTGTTCATTTACTTGTACTCACCAATACCAAAAATTCACCAATACCAACATCCAATACCCTCTGATATTGTGTGACATAAGCCGAGTGTACGCTGCTGCGCATATAAACAAACGCCTTCAATGAGGCTCTGCTCACACAGAGAAGTGTCACTGACCACAGCACAGTCGGGCATAAAGTTACAGTTCCCTTCAAACATTCTACTTTGGCAGATTCCCACTGTCTTTGTAATATAGGCTGTAGATAGACCGTATCGTCCTACCGTGGACATCGCCGCATGGTTTTTAGTTTCAGTGCACAGTGTTAGCTGAGCAGCTCAGTTTCTCAGCGCATTTGCGTTAGTACTCAGCGTGTAGAATGTTATTTTTGAGAGAAACAGCTTTATTGATTTGTTCAGCTGCGTTTCACATAACATGGACAGAGTGCTTTCATACAGTGTGAGTATATAACTTGTAGGCTTTGTCAGTCCATGATAGTCTATTTTGTGACTCACCAAAAAACAAGATTTATAAAATCACACACTGTATGTCTGACTCTAAAAGGACATTCAGCTACAGTTCAACCAGCCAGTTACAAGACTTTAGATGTAAAAAACTCCACAAGTGAGCTCCTTAGATGTGATTCTTGCTGTCACTGTGCTACAGAGACAGATGAGGAGCATCAAAACAATAATTTTTACTTTACAGCTGTACAAAAGTGCTTTTCTGACATGGAACAAAGTCCCGCTCTTTTCCATTGTAGCTCTACTCCATGCAAGGCAACTAATGTAGCATAACTATCTAATGTACTAAATTTAAAACCAGCTAGACTTTAATTATTTACGAGTAATTTGTTATGGTATCAAACTTGGTATCAGCAAATACCAAAAAAACATGTACTCATACTCATACTTGGCCTTAAAAAAATGGTATTGATGCATTCCAACATGCATTCCCTACGGGGCACCATTGGCACATCCCGAGAGTGGGGAGCCAGTCTTTCTTAGGAGGAACAAAATCGCAGAATCAAGGAGAAATGCTGCCTCTACTGCTGTCTACTCCTGGCTTCTGGCCATAATCATGGAGGAAAAGTCAGACCTCATCCCAGAACAGGACAACTATGATAAGTCTTACCATCTCTCCTGTGTTTGCATCAGCTGTGGTCCTATTAGACACTATCCTCACCTGGAGGTGAACAAGAACAGCCCCTTCAGGACTTCATAGACCTTGGTCACCCAGACTGGTCAACATACCTTGGGCTGCTCAATCACCCCCTCATCATCACAGTCATAGATGGGAGACCACTAGGTTAAGAGAAACGTCGCTAACACATCCTTTGCATCTACACATCGCACAGCATGAGGTACTAATCCAATTACACCTGTTCCCTCTCCCGCTTAGGTCCACTGTACTCAGGTGATTCCAAGGTGCCATCATCTTCAATTCGTCCCTACACAGCACTTAAAACAGCATGTACATCCACATTCAAGAGGGGGATGAGTAGAAAACTGCATTTACCATGTGTAGCAGCAACTATGAATATACAGTGATGCTGTTTGGGTTGGAGAATGCCCATGCAGTCTTCCAAGCATTTATCATTGATGTTCTCCATAATAGCCTGCACCATGATGTCTCCAGAGTCTCCAAGACACTCAGAGAACATGGCCAACATGTCTGACAATTTTTACAGTAGGTGTTCTTCGAGAAACTCAAAAAAGTGTGTTCCACATCCCCATGGTATTCTTCCTCGGATTTCTACTCTTAAAAAGGCAGCAAGAGACCGGCCATCCCCACCTCAGTGAAGCAGATTCACCCTATCACCTCTGATGTATCCAATAGTATCTAGTGGACTGGGAGGAGTCTGGCCAGAGAAATGGTCATGGACCCTTCCCCAGCACACCATAGATCCCCAACCTCATGGGGGGACTTGGCTAAGATCAGTGCTTTATTTAACTTTTGCATCAAGCCTGCTCTTCACTTGGATCTAGAAGCCCCAGTTAGCCGTCATAGGTCAACGGTTAGAGAACTGCCTTACAGATAATTCTGGAGCATCATCCTAACACCTAAGGACACTTCAGCACTGGAGGACTTGATCAAACTCTACACCCCGTGTGTATCATTGTGTGTTTATACTGTAATGCTCTGATACCTGTTATTGCACGTGCTCCTACTTTGACATTAACATTGGATTCTATAAAGAATCTCCTGAGCTTCGGTATCTGGATCTTCTGCTTCTTCAGGAATGGAGTGAATGACTTCAGAAACGTCTTCTTTGTAGTCTTTAAGAGACAGACAGAAAAAGAGTTTACATAACACCCAACCATCGGTGGATGAGCCTTTAGAAAACACTAGATAAATACAGGAAAATGAGTGTACAAAAGTAAAAATAAAAAACAATAAAAAAGCAAATAATAAAAAACAGGTTTACATACAGAGTTAAAATTGGTCCAGAAGTCTTGTTTGAGGTAAAGGGGCAGGATGCCCAGCTTGTTCAGAGTGTCCAGATTCCATGATGAACGATTACTGAGGAAAAACACAATGGCATATATGTATATATTTCTTTAGTCAGTCCAATTATACCTGCGACCGCTCATTTTGATATTGTCAGTGTTGAAAAATAACAGCACAGGTAAATCTTCACATTTTGAAACATGTTTCTTATTTCTACAGCTATGTACCATAAGCACAATATACATATACAGTCTTTCTTACCCATAAGTAGTGTTGTCAGAGTAGAGCAGTGTCTGTACAGCGGTGACCTGAGCGTCAGAAAGATCCCCACAGTTCTTCAGTTTCTCCAGAATGAGTGGATCAGAGTTCTTAATGTAGGTGGAGTCCAGGGTACAGACCATATTACCCAGAACCTCCACCTGAGTTCTGTTCAGACTCACACCAGATATACCCTACAAGAGCACAAATGACAGATGAGTGTGAGAAGGACTGACAGTGTTTTCTGGCTTTTGTATTGATTTTATATAGCTACTGTGTGGGTATGTGTTTGTTTTACCAGGCAGTCCCGTGCATTCTCAAACAAGATGGACTGTCTATTGAGGACGCTGGAAAGAACTGAGAAATCTGCTCCACTCAGAGCACCGAAATATGACCTGCAGTTCACCTTCTGCACCTTCTCGTAGCTACAACACACACAAACAAAAATATTAGTAAACAAGATAAAAGTGAGAGTGATGTTAAATAAATAATTCCACAATGCTAACTAAGTTGCAGTAATGGAAGCTATTTAGTAAATCATAGAACTGAAAATCTTTGCTCTAAAAGTAAGAAAATTAGATAATTGCAATAATTTCACTTTATCTGGTTAGGCTTCTGCAATTCATAAACATCTCGATCACAAGGCTTTCCATGTATGGGTAGATAAAAACTACAACCCTGTTCATGTTTACTTTAGTACGGTTTACATGTAGACAGTAGTGAATACTGTGTTTGTGTTACACACCTGTAGTAGAGAAGCATGTCAGCAGGTAAATCAGTGAAGTTCAGAGATGAATCGTCTTTCATGTAGTTGTACATGCAGGTCAGCTGCAACACAGAACACACTAAATTACACAACTGTTATACTAGGCATTCTCTTTCACTGATTCCAATACCACCTAACATGTCCTAACCAGTCAGCCAGTCTCTCCCCACAGCCTCAAAAATGCCCAAGGCAGTGCAAACCTAGTACTCGGCCTTGCCCGAGTAATTACACTTGGATCTCGGTTCCCTGCTCATCATTTCTGCCTTTATATACTCACCCCTCACTTAGTTCCTTTCATGTATGCTTTGTCTTCCCCATCATTCTCTAAGCTTGTATTTGCCTTTTGTAGCATTTAGCATTTGCATTTCTCTCTGGTCTCACGCCTTTCCTTTATTTACTCTCTGCACTTTTGGGTTTTGACAGCTTTGATAGCTTTCTGTTTTTTTTTTTGGTTTTGTTTTGATTTTTGTTTGGATTTTGCTCAGGTTCAGAGTTTTTTTTTATTTTGCCTTGCATAGGTTTCTGATTTTTTTTTTTTAAATAAAACACCAGTGATTATAAATAACAGCCCAAAACACTTACTTTGATCTCACCCTGGCAGAGCAGCAAGACTGCCTGGCCCTCACTAGTGACACTTCCTACACTACACACGCGCTTATCAAGTCTGAATGTTACGCTCTTATCAAGTCTGAATGTTAAAAGATCATGAACTAGAGGAATCTGGGGGTGGGGTTTAGAAGGGGCATACCCTTCTTAATGGTGGATGTTCTACTCCCATTCCAAGTTCATGTATAGCGCTGAAAGAAGACATTTACTTCAGAACATCTATGACGGCACTTACCACAAGGCAAATCCTTGCAGAAGCTGTACTGACACAGGAGACTTTGAAACTAGCAACCATTTTCATCAGGCAAGGGTCAGTGATGGTACCAATGATGACAATGAGGAATTGGTTCATCAGCTTTGAGCACATTCAGAATAACATTGAATATAATCAGAACAAATGTCAGATTGTATGTACCTGAGACTCTTTCAGGACGACCTTGTTCCTGCCAGTACGTGGTCTGCAGGCTTTCACCAGCTGTGTGACTTTCTGCCGTGGTAGTTTCTGAACCGAGCTGCAGGTGAATCCTTGCAGTATTGATTCCGACAGCCTGCAGGGGGAGATACGCACATTTAAAAAAACAAAAACCTGTATTTTAAGAACTAGAATTGCATTCAAATCTTGTGCATTTTCTGCTTTGCTTTCATTAACTTACTCTTCTGTATTGCCACTGGCGCTGGCCACTGAGCTGAACAACAGCACAGCCTAGTAAAACAGGCACATATTTAAACATTTATAAAAACTTTTAAAATTACATTTGAACCAGCTTATCATTACCAAAAAAACAACAACAAAAAAAAACAATGAGTGCATGTTACCTGTTCTTGTCTCCAGCTCTTGTTGTTGATGATTGTAACATTAACGGAGGTGGGAGACGACAGTAGCACAGGTGGGATATACCCTGCCAACGCATCTGGGATGTTCTCCACCACTTTAGTCTGGTCTACAGAGACAATCTGGGAGACAAGGTGGGAGAAGAACTGACTGATTAAATTTTGCTTAAGGTTGGATTTTCATCTGCAATTTATAAGATGCAGAAACGTCAGTAATGAGATATAGTGTACATGTAAACCGATGTGCATGAGTACCTTCTGGACATATGTTTCTTGCAGAATCACTGGTGCTGACAGAATGTTGTTGATGAATGTTGGATTCTGGGACACAGTCAGAAGCTCAGCAGGTAAGATGTTGGAGATGGCTGCTGAAGGAACGCCTCCAATAAGCGTGCCCAAAGACACCAGGGAGGAGCCACTGTTGATCTGTCAATCAAAGTATTGATTCGGATTAAATATTCAATATTCCAATCACAATACAGGTTTTAAAAAGAAGGAAAAATGCTGCATTAAGTGAAGACATTGAAGTCAGCTTTGATTTGAAGGCATTGACAATAAAGTTAAGCAATTTGTTTTTTCCCCATGAAATTAATTTAACAATTCAATGTTCAATGTAATAAATAACAGTAACAGACAACGTCAAGACATCTACAGCATCTGCTCTCTCAATCAGGAATGTTTCAAGATCATGTTTCTGATGCTACATGCTTATATGGCTTTGTAAAGTGATGTAATCTATTCCTTTCAATCTTGATATCTTGGTCTTCTAGTCTAGATTACTGCCGTCAGTGTCATCAGATGACAATGACTGGCTAAAAGGAATGTTCATCAAGGAACAAGTCCTGAGAAATCATGTTCAATGACTTTATTTCTCTAAGGGAGTTTGTACACAAAGGGTGGTTATTCCATTGTGGTTTATATGTTATACATGCAAACACCATTGAAGGAAAGAAAAGGAAAGGGAAAACGTGTAGGGCTATTACCTTCTTAAAATAAACGTTCCTTTTTTTGTATATTTTAATACAGTTCATGTATTTTGAAAAACTAAAAGTCTTAAGTTACTGGTTTAGCATTTTTCAAAGTGTGGCAAGGTGATATCCATGATACATTTGGGAACAGAAAATGTTAGACAGGAACAGTATGATAACAATGGTCTAGGGTCAGATTTCCCAGTTGGGTTCATTATTTTTGTGTTTACATCACCATAACAAACATTGTGTCTTCTGAACAAATGGACCTAAACACAGTAGTATATTGCAGATACATTTGAAAAAACAACATAAGACAGTTCCAGAAAGATTAATTTAAAAATAAATCAGAATTAATAAATTTATTAATTTAACATTTTTCAATTGGACTGCAGTGTAGTGTATTTTGTACACTCACATTAAAGCCAGCGTTAGTGATGCTCTGGATGATGTTGTTGACCTGACCCTGGTTCCAGCCTGTGATGACGCTGAGTACAGGCAGGGTACTGTTAATGACACTGGGAGGAGCGGCACTTATCTGGCCCTCAGTCAGACCAACACTCTGATTGCCGAGTGACTGGATTGTATTCGCTGACAAAGTAGGGAAGTTTGCCACAAGAGCTGCTGTAACCTGAGCGAAGAGAAGGATTATGGGTAACTCAAACTGTTACAGAATGATTGATTATGGAACACAAATGGTGAGAAAATTGGCCTAACTGATCGATTTACCTCTGGACTAATTTGTTGGCAGGATTTCTTGATGCTGTCCAGGATGGTCTGGCTGTCTGTAGCTTTTAGAGTCACAAATGCAGAACCAGGAGCTCCACACAGGAGGACACCTGGCAAACTACACACAACAAGAGAAACTCAAATGGATAAAACATGTAGGATAAATATGAGGGAACTAAAAATCAAGTTCTGCCCTTATAGGTGATTGATACAGTATTTGTTGCATATTGTGGTACCTGAGGGTGTTGAAGTGTGTGCTGTAGTATTTAGTGTGTAGTGTGGTACCTGAGGGGACTGAAGTTGGGATTCTGGATGTATAGCTGTGTGCTGTAGTATGTGGTGACATTGGCTGCAACTCCTGAGTTGTTAAACAGCTGAATATTCTCCGAGTTATTCAGGAAAACACCAATCTACAGGACACAATCAGACTCAGTAAGCTGTCTATCTATTTGCATATGTAACTTGACAGCTAACATGAATAATTAAAGGTTTCCATATGTAAGTCTTTTACCTGGCTGTCTGATATGAAGGACTGGAGGTCAGTGAGGGAGATGAAGGTGACGAAGAATCCAATGTTGTTGGCAAACCAGGCAGTAGAGTTCAGAAGAGGATCAGAAGAGTTATAGCAACGGGGAGTGCCATCTAGCAGGTACACAAAAATTCCCATATATACACATACATAAATGTAACTATGCACTTAATAAATGTGTAATATCTCTTCAGCACAAATGAAAAAGAGAAAGAGAGAGAAACGTAGCTGTGCTTACCGCTGCTGTTCAGATAAGCCTTTATAGAGCTGTACACATCAACTGGGGTGAAGTCAGTACCTGAGAAATTATAGTTCTTCCCCAGGACTGAAACCCTGCTCACAAACAAGAAACAAGAATAAACACAAAAATAAATTTGTACTCATCTCTTCTTCCAAACTTTGCTACTTCCACCTTCTAGCTAGGTCTCGAAGTGTTTTGAAGATGGGAGGGTGGAGGCCAGCCACAGCATCTTTTCATACTGCCACTAATGCAACATCACTGGACTGCTCAACATGCTTGGAGGAGAATGATATTACATCACTTAGCAGATGTCCACATTGACCAGCATCACACTGAGTGATAGAGGGAGAGGATGGGCCATCATACCCACCAAGACAGGGTGAGGCCAACCATGCTCTCTTGGACTCATCACCTTATAATAGGGCCAACGCATAAACTGTTGTGCCACTTGAGAGTCCAATTTAACTTTTTCAGATAAAAGATGTGGTGTTATTTGTGCTGAAAGAACAGTTTCATACTACTTAAAACAAAGACTCACAGTTTCCTGTATGAGAGGCAGGAGGCGCCTCTGAGCTGGGTGGGGCTGATGAGCTGAGAGCTGAGAAGGGGCAGGTACTGAGCCAGTCTGACATTAAACCACTGAGCCACCTCATCCTGAGACGAGACGCTGAGAGCACGAGACCAAACGCACCCCAACGTCTGTCTGCCCACAGCTGCAGATACAACTGGCTGCTGCACAGAGAAACAGATGGAGGAAAAAGAGAGAAAGAAAGATTTACATATGGATTACTGCATTAAATAACACAGAGAATATAACTATAAAAAAAAAGGACACAGGTGTACCGTCTCCAGGTACTGGTTGGTGCTGTTGTAGTTGTTGAGGAGCGTGCAGAGATCTGACCCATTCCTGACTGTGTTCAGCCCATTCAGAAACATCCTCAGTTCTCCTGGAGAGATGGAGCCCAACAACTACAGGGCAGAGAGGAGAGCAACACATTCATTACATAGAAATAGATATGTGGATGAATTCTCACCATTACTGAGTGACTGATTCATTTATGGACTGTTTACTAACAGTATGATTGAATGACTCATTGACTGTATTACTAGCTGACTCAAAATCCTGCATTATCCTCTGCAGTACCTCTTGCTGTCGGCTGGCTGGGATGAGAGACAAAAAGGCACTCAGGTCAGGAAATCCAAAACTGAGGAAGGAGTTCTTGAGGAAGACATAGAAGCTCCCTCCACCATAGCAACCCAAACCATTCGGCCCTGTGGGGCATAAAACAACAATCAAAACAAGACCAAAAAACAGTGTTAACTTTTTTGTTTTAATTACTTGTTATCAATTTGTGAGCAAAAGGGCATACCTGTAAGGAGTTGCTGGATGTTGCTGTAGATTTGAGTCTGTGTGTTGCTGCTAAAAGATGATCTCAGGGGGTCCAAATTGGTCACTCTGTTACAGCACAGGAAAAAGTTCATCACAGTCATGCTTAACAAACAAGACACCTCACTTCCACTTCCATATTAAATATTCAACAAAAACAAAAGATGCATTATATCTGCTTTTAGAACATTAAACGTGATCTTAGAAACATTAGTTGTGTTTCTGAATATGTTTCTTACGCTGTCTGTTGGGTGCTGCAGCTCCTGCCTCGGACGATGTTGAAGTATGGTGTTACATCTGTAGAGGAAAGGCTGGAGAGGAAGGGCCTGAGCCGAACATTCACCCACTGCAGCACTTCTGAATCAGGCACTGCAGCGGAGGACAGTCCACCTCTTGCCAGTACAGCCTGGAGGAAAGCTCCCTTCACCTCACTGGAGTACAGTGATGAATTCAGCTGAGAAAGAGAGATTTCAACACATATGAGGAGAAAATGTTACAATTGCATACAAAATCTGTTGTGGGATCACCACAGGCAAATCAAGCAGATGAGAAATGCCATTATCATCAGCATCATCAATAACCACTTAGTCCAGGTTTGTGATAACATTTGGGAGAGCAGAGACTCCCGGATGACCCTATCCCTGCAAATTCCCCCAGCTCATTCCGGGGAACCCCACTCCCAGGCTAACTTGAAGATATAATCCCTCCAACGGGTCCAAGGAAGACCCCGGGATCTCGCCCTAGTAGGCTGTGCCTGGTAAACCCCAGGAGTGTAGCCCGCCATACTGCAAAGAAAGCTCATTTCCGGCGCTTGCATTCACGATCTCATACTTTCGATCATTACCCACAGCTCATGACCATAGGTGAGGGTCGGGAGGTAGACCGACCGGTAAACAGAGAGCTGAGCCATAAGGCAAAGGATCACTGCATTAAATAACTCAGAGAGTGAAACTGAGTGAGGTCCTGGTTGGTGCTGTTGTTGAGAAACATGCAGAGATCTTATGGCTCAGCTCCTTCTTCACCACTAAAGTCCAGTACAGTGACTGCATTACTGCTGCTGCCTGTCCCAGCCTGTGGCCGATCTCACAATCTCCCTTTCCATCACTTGTGAACAAAACCCTGAGATACTTAAACTCTTCCACCTGGGGCAGGTCCTTTCCCCTTACCTAGAGTGGGCATGCCATCCTTTTCCGGGCTAGGTCCATGGATTCACCCACAAACCAACCGCTTCACACTCAGCTGCAAACCGCTCCAGTGAGACAACATCTTCTGCAAATAGCAGAGACGCCACCCTCTGGCCTCCACACATAATGCCCTCCTGACCCCGGCTATGCCTTGACACCCTGTCCATGAATATCATGAACAGGAGTGGAGAAAAGGCACAACATTGGTAGAGTCAAATACTAACACTGAACAAGCTTTACTTAATGCTGAGTATACAAACAAAACTCTCACTCTGGGAGTATGGCTCAGAGTAGTAGCCCTGGCACCCCATACTGCCGGAGGACCTCCCCCAAGTTATCTCAGGGAACACAGTCGTAAGCCTTCTAAAAGTCCACGAAACACATCTAGACTGGGCTGGCAAACTCCCGTGCCCCGTAAACAATCTGTGAGAGAGTGAAAAGCTGGTCAATTGTTCTACAGCTGAGACTGAATCTGCATTGTTCCTTCTCAATCTGAGGTCTGACTGTCAGCTGGAGTCTTCTTTCCAGCACCTTGGCATACACTTTCTCAGGGAGGCTGAGCAGTGTGATATCCCAAAAGTGGGCACACACCCTCCGGTCTCCTTTCTTAAAAATAGGGACCACGACCCCGGTCTGCCAGTCCAAGGGTACTGTTCCCGAGGTCCATGCAATATTGCAGAAGCATGTCAGCCATGACAGCCCCAAAACATCCAGAACCTTAAGCAACTGGGTGAATCTCATCCACCCCAAGTGCCCCCAGAGGTAGTTGCCAACTACCTCACTGACCTACACCAGGGAAATGGAGCCTGACACACCAGAAGCCTCTGGCCCTGACTCCTGTGAGGGAGGCATGTCTCTCGGATTAAGGAGGTCCTCAAAGCGCTCCTTCCACTGATCGACAACATCCTCATTTGAAGTCAGAGTTTCTCCACCACTGCCAAATACAGCTTGGGCGAGTTGCTGGATAGTTGTCCAGAACCTCCTTGAAGTCGACCAAAAGTCTTTTTCCATGGCTTTGCCAAACTCCTCCCACGGCCTGGGATTTGCTTTCTCCACCGTTGCCACTGCCGCCTTTTTTGCCTGTTGGTACCTGTCTGCTAAATTACGAGTCCTGTGGGCCATTCAGTCCCTAAAGGCCTCTTTCTTCAGCATGACGGCCTCCCTCACCACTGGTGTCCACCAGGGGGTTCTTGTGTTACCGCCCTGACAGGCACCCACAAGCTTTAGGCCACAGCTATGCCTGGCAGCTTCCACAATGGCTCTCCCGGAGGTGGAAGTTAAAATCATTCTGAATAGGGGCATCTGACAGTCGTTTCCAGTGCACCCTCACTATTCACTTGGGCCGGCCGGTTCTGACCATCAGTCTTCCCTGCCGTCTGATTCAACTCACCACCAGATGGTGATCGATTGACAGCTCAGCACCCCTCTTCACCCGAGTGTCCAGAAGTCCCAAGTCAGATGAAATGACAACAAAGTCAATCATTGACCTTTGTCCCAAGGAGCTTTGGTATCATTTGCACTTATGAACATCCTTGTGTTCGAACCTGGTGTTATTATGGACAATTCATGCCTAGCACAAAAGTCCAATAACACTTCATCATTCAAGTTTAGATCAGGCAGGTCATTCATCCCAATCTAGTCATTGCCAACATGAACACTGAATTTTCACAGCAAGACTATGAAGTCTGTAGGTGGGCGCCGACTCGCTCCAAGAAGGCAGAATACTCCAAACTGTTGTTTGGTGCATGAGCAAAAACACAACAGTCTTTTTCGTCCCTGTGATTTTAGTTCATATTGAGGCAACACTCTTGTCCACTGGGACAAACTCCAACTGCACGGTATCCCCACATCCGTCTAGTGCCTCTTACCCTGTGCAACTGCTGGGTAGGAGAGGGACCAACCCTTATCAAGCAGTTTGGTTCCAGAGCTGACACTGTGGGTGGAGATGAGCCCAACTATATCTAGTTAGTACCTCTCAACCTCCCGCACAAGCTCCGGCTCCTTGTCCCCAGTAAGGTTATATTTCATATACCAAGAGCCAGTTTCCGCCGCAGGGGTCCATGTTGCCAAGGGCCTCCCTGCCATTTCCCACTGCCTATACGGTACTTCACCGGTCCCTCATGCTGCAGGTGGTGGGCCCACATGGTCCCCCCCACATTGCCTTTTCAGGCCTAGCCTGGCCAGGTTATGTGGGATGCCCCGCCACCAGCCACTGGCTGAGGAACACTACCCCCAGGCCTGGCTTTAGGGGTAGGCCCTGGTAACCATCTACTGGGCAGGGTACATGATTTCCTGCGTCCCCTAGTCATGGACGATTTTTGGATTAAGTTCATCTGGGTCTTCACCCCAGATCTGTTCGCCTTGGGAGACCCTACCAGCAGCATATTGCTCCAGATGACTTAGCTCTGAAGATCCCTAGACCACACAATCCCTTCCACCACAACAAGACCTTCTATGTTCCTTGTTTGTCAATATGCACTGAAGGTCATGGTTGGTTGTCATGTATTGGTTTACATCTTGGTAAATGTAGCCAGCCTTGAACACATGGAGTATGTAAGGTCTGATAAAACAACCAGTTGTATGTAAAAGGCTGAGAACTGTCACATTTCATTAATCTCATCAATCTCAAATCTCCTTCTTCACTCCTGACATCAGTCTTGAGGGTGTCCAGATGGGGCAGTAGAAGACTGAAGCCCACAACTGTGAAAGAATTTCAAAAAACTCCAAGTAGATAGAAGATCCATCAGGAACTTAAGCACAGTAGCAGCCCCACTCATTTCTAAGTGGACATATTTGGTGTGAAATGAAAGAAAAAGCTGATTCTTTTCATGACTGCAAAGCACATTTCACCACAGTGACTATATTCAATATACTGGCACCCTAACCGCTCTGGTCTGTGATGTAAATACCTATGGTCAGTTCTGTTTAGTACGTGCCACCATGAAATTACCATGCCATTCCCTGACTGGTTACCTAGTTATTATGCTGTGTCTTCTACATGCAACATGATTGCTTCTAGAGGGGGCAAAGTGATTCTGATATGTAGAACTCACTGTGACCCTATTCCGATGGGATCCAGCCCAAATTTCTACTGTGATTGATGATTAATTTCACAGGTCTGAAAGGGGATGTATCCAGTTACAGAGGGCAGTTCAATGACA